AGCAAAATGGATCATTAGACCTAAGTATAAAACATAAAATTGAAACATAAAACATGAAACTTCTAGAAGAAAACAGAAAATGTTCAAGACTTTTTGGTTAGTCGGAGAATTCCTCAATTCAACAACAAAAGTTGGATTCATTAAAAAACTGATAAATTTGTTTATCAAAATTAAAGCTTTTGCTCTAGGAAGACGCTGTTAAGGGAATAAAAATGACAAGGTAGCTGTTGGGAGGAGTAATTTACAAATTTCATTTCTGACACAAGACTTACCCAGATTATTGTACTGAACAACAAGAAAATCCAATAAAAATAGGTAGTTAAAATTACCTCTGCAAAGAATTCAACACTTTAAAATTTTATTTGTATTTCTATGTTTTTTCCAGGCAGTAATGGGTCCAAACATAACCTCTCATCAATTTGTATTTGTAGCACATTATTTAACTTTGAAATTGAACTTTTGATCTGATAACCTTTGGTGTGCTTTATGTTGACCCCAAAAAAAAGTTAGTTTTCTTTAAATTCCGGGGATAAATTTCATATAAGTTCTTAGCAAAGAGACCACTTTTTCTGCCAAATAAAATTGGTTCTTTAAACACACACAAAAACAGTTTACAAGTTCCTGAGGCATTATAATTTATTTTCTCATCTTTTAAACAACAAAACCTGAGCATCAATCACTGCATTTGCAATCATCATATTTCCTCCTTTCTCTGCTACCAAAACTGAACAACTCTGCAACATAATGATGAAAGAAATTACCATTGTTTTCCCTTTGCTGCTCTTATTTCTTCATTTATTTCTTATCATCTGGTACCATGTTGTTTTTGTAAGTCATTAGAAATCATATTTAGGAACAGTGTGAGGTATAACAAACAAGCAAAGAAATTCTGTATGAAAGAAATCCTATAAAGTTGAGTGTTTTAATATTTAACCCTCTTTTTCCAAGTGAACGCCTGTCCCTTCTGCCCAAAACCTTATCTACTTAGATCATATATCTCTGCTGGAAACAGGAGAGAATAAGCCGTGATTTCCAGCACCGTATCCAGTTTGTTTCTAATGACTGCACTCTTGTCTGGATCTATTTTATTTTGTATTACCGTACTTCTCACTGCCTGACTTATTAGACAAAACACAAACAAATGCCTCCTTCCAATAGACTGTAAGCTCCAATTGTCAGCACCTAGAACAGTGCCTGGCACACAGTAGATGCTCAACAAATATTTATGGAATGAAAGACTGCCCAAGGCATTTCTTTGTACCTCATTCCCTCACATTCTTCCAGTGATCCTGGCCAGCCCATGGCAGCATTGCTGGTAAAAACAGGAAAATATGCTGCCCTCCACTTTGCTTTCTTCCAGGATTAGTGACTGCGTCTTTTTGTCAATTTCTTTTTGCTAACTAGATATTGAGGATAGAGGATCATGAGAAACAGCATCCCTGATTGCCCAATCTAATTCCAAAAGTCCAACACCAATGTCCACCAATGTCTACCACATAAAACAGAAACAAAGTGCAGCACTCACTTCATATTTCAGATGAAAATAGGATACATGATTTCAAAGCAGTTCATGGTAGAGGCTGCTAAATCCAATTTCCTACTAAATCCAACTATCAAAGTCATCACTCATTTGACTTAGCATCAGGAGAATTGTTTTCTAGTCCAAAATCTACCATTAATTACATCTTCACCAAGTCCCAGCCTGCTAGTTTGAAGACAGTTAACAACACCGAAACAAAGATATGATTTAGAGCAAGTAAGGGTTCTCAAGAGAGGACAGGGAGAGTTACCAGGGAAGATAGGCAGTGGGTAGCCCAGCAAAATCATCTGTGAGACTTTTCAAACATTGGGTTTAAAACTGCTCTGAAACTCTCCCACCCCAAACCACTCCTTGAGAATTACCACCAAAGAGTGAGCCACTGTTGCTATCACTATTGGGAGTATGGAAAACTCAGAAAAGCTTTTTCAGATTCAAGCGTAAGCTTGTTGAGGAATGGGACCAAGATGTACTATGCTTCTTAGTGACATCCACAGAATCCAATACAGGGTAATCCTGTATTACTTACTTTTCCAACCTCAGCTCCTTTTCTCCCCTCAGCCACACCCTAGGCGTCTCCCATGGTATTGGACTTCTGAGTACCAAACTATGCCAGACCTTGCATCACCTGTCCCCACCTGTGGGAGACAGGATTGGTTGCCTACCTAACAGTACGACAGGCAGTCTCACTTTCCTCCTTGCTAACAGAATTCTGATTGTGTTCAGACACAGGGCATGGATGTGCTCAGGGCAGGTGAGCTCTCCTGCGGCTCTAGAAAATAGCTTGGGCAAAACAATCATATGCCCCCTCTTCTTCTTTGCCAGTGACTGGTTTCAGGGCAAGCATGAAACCACTCTGGCCAGTGACACAGAGCACTTGAGGGATAATTTGTCCTTCGTTATCTAGAGAAAGCCTAAGCAGCAAGCCCCGCCCTTCTTTTTTCCACTTTGAATGTTGTCACATGAAGGTACGGTGGAGTTCTAGTCACCCTGGAAAACGAAGATAATTTTCTAGAAACCACCCAAGAGCTGTGGCCAATTTGAACAACCTACCTTCAGATGTTCTAAGCAAGCAGTAGAGTAACCTAAATAATGTGACAACAAAAAGAATCTTACCACACGGCCTGGAAAATCTCTCAGCTTTTTCTCCAAGAGCAGCCCTTCTCATCTCCAATTCAAAGCTCAACGGTAGTTTCTTTGGGGAGTCTTCACTATGTCCCCAGACAGATAATGCTATCACAGTCTAGTTGGAGAGACAGATGCACAGATAGTATTGTCTATACATCTATGCTATCTATACATCTGTCTTTCCAACTAGACTGTGAGCTTCTCAAAAGCAAGCATTTTCACCCTTGGCAGAGGCCCTGGCTATGCTGAGCATTTATTAAATGTCAAATGAATGAATAAACAAAAAACAATGAAGGAAAGGATGGACACACAGGATGCCTTCCATGCATTAGTTAAAGACTTGACTGACAGAATATGGCTCCCAGGCTGTCTAGAGTCTACTGCAGACTTCCTTTAGGTGCTGGCAAGCAAAGGCAGAGATAGTGCAATGGACATGTCCTATTTTGTCAGACTTTTCATTGGGAATTGCACCCTCCCACCAGCATCCCCTGCAGCTGAGATGGGCCAGTCTGTTACAGTGGGTCATGTGCCCATTCCTGTTGTGGAAACCCACTACCTATCTGCTGAGATGGCTTGGCTCTGCTTTGGTCCAGCATGTCTGTAAGATTACTATAAGGGACTAGGTGCAGTGGCTCACACCTGTAATCCCAGCACTTTGGGGGGCCAAAGCAGCAGATCACTTGAGGCCAGATCAGCCTTGACAACATGGCAAAACCCTATCTCTACTAAAAATACAAAAATTAGCAGGGTGTGGTGATTACAGCTACTTGAGAGACTGAGGCAGGAGAATCGCTTGGACCTGGGAGGTAGAGGTTGCATGCTGAAATCGTGCCACTGCACTCCAGCCTGGGCGACAAAGTGATACTCCATCTCAAAAAAAAAAAAAATTGCTTATAAAAATGAAGTAGATAGGATTCTCTCTCTCCCTCTCTGTCTCTGTCTCTCTCTCTCTGAAAGAGCAGATAAGCCTGAAGGTGCAACTGCTATTTACTGCTCTATTCTAAGCACCAGTCAACACAGAGAGAAAAACAGCTAAGATATACATGAGAGATAACTGGCCCTGGAACCTCATATGAGCCTCTGGAACTCGCTAGAGCTTTAAGCCAAAACTCCCAACCTTTTCATTTATGTGACCCAATCAATTTCTACATAGTATAAGGCAATTTTCAAGTGACCAAAACCCAACCCAAAGAAAGCAATTCTGACAAATCCGATAGGTAATGATGAGGGCGGTCTGACAACAGCCCCTCCATCTGCAGGGCCTGTGCACTGGCAGCCCTAACCTTGGCCCCTGGGATGGTGTCAGCAAGCAAGGCATCCTGGAGGAAGTCAATTCATGACAAAGTCAAGGTGAGAAAGAATGCCCCCACCCCACAACACACACACCACCGCCACCAGGGTTCCCTCGTAAAGCATGATAACCCGAGCCTCCTGGATCTTCCTTCTGTTCAGAATCGCGTGGAGACCTCTGGGAGGCACACAGTGTTACATCAACACAAAAGGGGAAAAAAGCAGTGTGTGCTCTGTACTAAATGAACATCGGATAACCTAAGGCTATTGTGATGATTATAATATTAATAGTACCTATTTTACTTTAAGGAAACTGAGGCTCAGAGCAGCTAAGTAACTTGCTCAAGGTCACATAGCTAGTTACTGGAATTTTAATGGCATTCTAGACTTTTCTCACTTCCCCACTCTCTGATCCCCTGGCCTTGGGAGGTGGGCAGCACCCCACCACCCACCAGCTCCCCCCAAACGCTGCAGGGCGTACAGAGCTGCAGCCTTGACAACCTAACCCGTTGGAGTCAGCGTAGCCTCCAGACCCAGCTTTCGGGAAACCCCAGGTAACCAATGTGTAAAGTCGGTTATTCAACAACAAAAGTAGAGTCGGGGCAGGGGGAGCGGCGGCACCCGCGCGGGCCCCGCGTGAAGCGCCGCAGAGGGAAACACCGGAGCTCACTCGCTCGCTCTTGGCCCCACGATCCGCCTTGAACCCCCCGCCCCAGCTCCGCGCCTGTTTGGCCCCCAGTCTCTCCTCTCCCCTCGGCTCCGCCGACAGCGCCCTGGGCGATTAGAGAACCAGGCAGCTCCAGCTTGGCCCGGACCCCCGGCTCCCGCCTCGTCCAGCTGTTGGCAGCTGTTCTCCCCAAGGCGGCGACCGGACCCCGACCCGCCACTGCGCCGCCGCCCCGCGAGCTCCTGGCTGCCCCGGTGCGCCGGGCAGGGGCGCAGCGCATCTCCCGCCGCAGTCGCGCGGCCCCTCACTGGCTCCAGCGCTGAATGAGCCGTCCCCGAACCCACCACCGCCCTCGCCCGCTGCGTCGGCCCAGCTCACCTCGCCGCCCACGCCCGCCGGGCCTCTCTGCGCCCTCGCCCGGCTCCCAGTCCCGGCTCCCCGCGCGCCTCCCTGGGGCTGGCGTCGGCTGCGGCCGCGTGGGGCGGGGCGCGGCTCCTCCCCGCCCTGAGCCACCTGGGGCACTGGAGGGGGCCGGACCGGGACAGGTGAGCCCCGCCCGCTAGGGAGCAGCCCCGGGCCCGGCTCCGCTGGGAAAACGCGGGGCTCCGCCACCGGGCTGAAGGGAGGCCTGGGCGGGCGGCCGTGTGTTAGCAGCCAGCGCTCGGGAGGCGGCCAGGAGCTTGTTCCCACCCAGCCAGCCCCGCTCGGGAAATGGAACACGGCACGCGAATCGGACCCGACCGAGCTTAAAGAGGCGGGAATCCACTCCCTTTCTTTCTGGGATGTAGCAACGCAGAGTGCAGACCCTCAAGAGTGAAAATGACTGGGCCAAGGGTGCGTGCGAGTTAGTTCAGAACTAGAAGAACTCAAAGACCTTTTTTGACCATTCCATCCAATCTTGTTCATCCCTCAAATGATTACCCCCCCTTTTAAAATAATGACATTAAGCGATAAATAAGATAATTTCATATATCGATGTCCTCCCCACCCCTGGACGGAGCCCCAGGAGGGGCAGGAAACTTACCTGTCCATTACTGAACCAGAGCTTTGGAAACTCAGGGCATTTAATACCTGATGAATAGACTAGGTGCCGCCCAGTCTTTTGCGTCCAGCCTTAAGCTGGTCCCCTCGGCCCAGAGCTGCTCCAGCATCATTCCAAGCTTACTAGGGAGAATCTGGAGCCAAGCTGTCAGCTTCCAGGCCACCTGTTCTCTCTCTACTACTTACCCCACACCCACTGCCAGCCAGGCAGCTCTACACTCCCAGGGCACCTTATAAGCCATCAAGCAAAACTTTAACTTCTGAGGATGCCACAGGCAGGAGAACTCTGAAATATAACACTATCTGGCCAGGCTTGCACTGTGGAAACAGCTCAGAATATGAGCCACTGACCCAAGATCCCACAGCTGGTAGCAGAGCTGATCCTGGGTCTACATTTCTAAAGACAATGCTGGGCTGGTGTGGAACCTTTGAAGGGCTGCTGGTTATGCCTGCAGTGGGGAAACCTGGGGACAGAACTTCTGCAGAAATGGGGTCTGAGTTTGGTCCTCTGCTGAGACTTCTAATCTGTCTTTCCAGACCTCTCAGGTCAAGCATCACCTGAGCCACTTGCATTTATTGAGGCCCCTGACAACTGCAAAAACCAAAGCAATGGTATTAGGTGTTCCATTTAACAAATGGCTTTCACACACACACACACTCTCACATGAGGTAATGTGTCATGCTGCTTGCTACTCACATGTTAATTTCAAGACTCATTAAAAAACTCTATTCCATGAAAAAATTCATTTCACTGCAGGAAACATTATACAACTTTAAAGTTGTACGGAGAACATTCCTTCTTATGACTATTTCAGTACACTTCTGTGACTGTATATTAAAGCTCTGAGGCCAAAATGGGAGGATCTCTATTAAGGTGAGGTCAGGGCCAAGCAGCCTGCTCCACCCCTCCCCTGACAACAAGCCCAACACTCCTAAGGTATAGACACCCCACCCCTTCAGTGGGTTCTGCACAGATGGGTATTTCAGATTTGATGTTTCCTGGCTGGCCACGTCACACTGGGCAAGGCCAACCTAAAGGAGGTTATATGGGATGCCCCACCTAGGTGTGCCCTACCACAATTGCTAATCCCTCTATAGTGGCAAGGAGTCTGGTGTCCCAGGGTGGGGCTGTGGCAGAGCCTGCCCTTTGGGACAGCCACTTGCACCAGCAGGTATGGCTGAGCAAAGGAGCCCCTCTGGGTCTCACTCACATGAAATGGGCCTAGACCTTTTTATGTGTTGGTTTCAGTCAGTAGAGCACGTGATTCCCTGTGATTTAGGATCCTCCTGCTGTGCATGTGATCTTGGCTGGGCCAGCCTGCTAAGTGATGCCACGCAGACAGGCCTGAGAATCATCAGGAAGTTACAGGTTCTGCCCCAGTGCTTGCTTGCATGTGATCCCTCCCTCTCTCCCTACCCCATTCTGTCTCCCAGGCTTGCTGAGCAGCCTTGGGTGTGTTCCTCAATTGTGCATTTCTCCCACTTGAAAAATGTGCAACCATGAAATCAGACAAGGTCTCCACTTAAAGTTTTTTGTTTAAAAGGGGTATCTGAAATAAGAAGCTTTGATACTGTTGTGAGGCTAAGTGAAATAATCCATGTAAAGTGCTTGAGCGCAACGCCAGCACAAAGCACCTGCTCAGTAAACAGTAGCTCTGCGTAGCAGTGCAAAGAGAGCCAGCCCACATCTGATCAACATTAAAATGCTAGAAATAGGTACAAAACCATTGATAGGCTTTGTAAGATTCTAGAATGAATGAATTAATCCCTGCAAATAAATGTGTTTATTGTTATTCTCTACTGGTCCCTAGGAGAATGATATTTGAACTAGAAAATCTTCAGCTTCTACTTAATCTCTAGTTTTCTGATAGTATGATGAAATATACATTATCCAAAGAGGGAACAATCCAAAAAACTTCTGAGCCTTAGGATATATTTACCTTCCTAATTTTTTCTGTCTTGTCTTAGGACTCAACATGTATATTAATACTGTGTATCTAGCTAGGCATGGGGGGCATGGGCACCTGTAATCCCAGCTACTCTGGAGGCTGAGGCAGAAGAATCACTTGAACCCAGGAGGCAGAGGTGGTGGTGAACCAAGATGGCGCATTGCCCTCCAGCCTGGACAGCAAGAGTGAAACTCTGTCTCAAAAAAACAAAACGAAAAAATACTGTATATCAGTTTCTGAGGACATTTTTCAATTAGACAATGTGTGTAGCATCCCTGGCACATAGTAGCTGCTCAGTTAATTGTGACTAATATAAGGAGGTATAGGGAAGTGGCCAGAAATATTAGGAGCAGAAAGTGCTATGAATTCAGGTAAGCAAAACTGATAACCACTTTATCAGGCAGCCCAGAGTTTAAATTCACACTGGCTCTGGAATCAGACTGTTTGAGTTCAAATTCAGTCACAACCTACAATGCATGTTAATCTCTCTATGCCTCAGTGTCCTCATCTATACAATGAGATAACATTGGAATTTCATAGAAAAGCTGAGAGACAGAAATAGCATAATAACTGACCTTTAGTGAGCAGCTGCTTCATGTCTGGCTCAGATGAATGCTTGTATTCTCTTTCAAGGGTTGACCTTAGAGTAGGATTTCTTAATCAAGGGCCACAGACCCTGCAACTGAATTGGTATTCTGTGTCTGCATACATTTTTACTAAACTGAGCATCCACAGCTGTTGTTAGATTTGCAAAGACATTTGGGTCTCAGGAATAGTTAGGAGTCACTGCCTTCCAGACATAGCCGGGACAGGAGTTTTGGAGCTGGAAGATGTGTTAGAGATTGCGCAGACCACCATTCTGCATTGACGGGGAGGATTACTTGAGTGCCTGCTCATGACAGAGTTCACACCTAAACATTCTCATTTGGGAAAGCAGAGTGGCTTTTGAATGAGCACTCCAGGGGCTACTCACCTACAGGCAAGCCTGGGAAACTGATCCTACCCAACCACCTAATCTTCTCATTTCACAGGTCAGGAAACAGGCCAGACATGAGGACAGCTCAAAACAGCTCCCACCCCACGTTGGTCAAGGAACCTCCCTTACCTCTAAGTCAAGTCTTCACCCCACCTGAACAAAGGAGGAGAAACGTCACTCCTTCCCATAAACCCAGTTCACACAAGGAGCACTCTGAAAATAAAATCAGTCTTCTCTTAGGTGGATAATAAATTGTGCAGCTGGCCACGCACAGTGGCTCACGCCTGTAATCCCAGCACTTTGGGAGGCTGAGACGGGTGGATCACTTGAGGTCAGGGGTTTGAGACGAGCCTGGGCAACATGGTGAAACCCCATCTCTACTAAAAATACAAATATTTGCGAGACATGGTGGCAGGTGCCTGTAATCCCAGCTACTCAGGAGACTGAAGCAGGAGAAGCACTTGAACCCAGAGGCAGAGGTGGCAGTGAGCTGAGATCGCACCACTGCACTCCAGCCTGGGAGACAGAGGGAGTGTGTTCCCCGCCACCCCATCCCCCTGCCCAGAAAAAAAAACAGTGCAGCCTCTGTGTTAAATCTTAAGCAAGCCTAGACCCCTCTTGACACAGGATTGCTAATACATCACTCCAGCCAGCGGGCAGGGGTGTGTCCTCCTCACCCCCATCCCCCCCCCCCCGCCCCCGACACACACACATTCCTCATTGCATGCAGCGTTACTGTTTGAACAGCTGAGGCTATTCAGAGATCACGTTCAGGTAATAGCCTGCAAAAATGTAAACGTGTTGTCCCGTTTCCTAAAGCCACACACTAATAAGACTCTAACCAGGGGGACTTGACAGGGGACTTCAGTGGTGCCATTTAGTTGTGTGAGCCCGATAGTGGGAAATACTTCTTTCCATGCAGATCTCAGCAGGAACTGAGTCTGAAGCAAGAACAAGGCAGGCAGCTGCAGCAAGAGCCGTTATCAAAGTTATGCTTCAAAAATGTCTGTGCTACCTGTGACACTCAAAAAAAAGTCAGCTCCAGAATAATCAGACAAAATTCAGAATCACCTCTTATCAACCAGTGAAATTCTCTCCAGGCCTACCAAGGGCAGGCAAGGATGTGTGTTTCTTTGGGTTTTTGATGTTCACCAGTCGCAGAGTCCTGATGTAGCAAAAAGTTGAAATAACTTTCTCGAAGTGAGTTGGGCATACTTCTCACATACGAGGCCAGCAAGCAACTCTTCCAAAGAGGCAGGCTGCAGCAGCTCCATTTCACTGAGAAGATGACTCTAAGAAGAGGCAGGTGGCCTGCTCAGACCCATGCTTGACCCTGAGGTTGGGCAGCAAATCAGCTTCTCCGTATTTATCCCTCAGTATTACTTTTTATGCTCTCAGGGCCTGTGGATCAGCTTGAATTTGCCTGGCTGTTTAAAACACATCAGCTGGGATGTACTAGTCCTCTTTTATCTGGGTTTCAGAGTAGGCACTGAAGCATGGGCTACAGATGTATAGGTCTGCTCACAACATTGCTGGCTACAAAAATGCGCAAATGCCTTTGGCGTTGTATTTCTAAATCCAGGAAAGAAGTTGTTGATTATTCCAATTTTCTTCTTACTTCTGAAGTCAACACAAACATACTCGTTTTTTGTTTTTGTTTGGGTTTTTTTTTTTTTTTTTTTTTTTAGAAAAAGTCTCACTCTGTCACCCAAGCTGGAGTGCAGTTTCAGCTCACTGCCACATCCCGGGTTCAAGCAATTCTCATGTCTCAGCCTCCCGAGTAGCTGGGATTACAGGCATGTGCCACCACACCTAGCTAATATTTTTTGTATTTTTAGCAGATACGA